ATGGGACATGTGAGATATATGAACCTAGAAATGGGACATGGGGGATATGTGAAGCTAGACATGGGACATAAGGGATATATATGCAGCTAGACATGGGACTTGGGGGATATATGAAGCTTGAAATGGGACATTGGGGATATAGGAAGCTAGACATGGGATATGGGGGGATATATGAAGCTAGATATGGGACATCGGGGATATATGAAGCTAGAAATGGGACATGTGAGATATATGAACCTAGAAATGGGACATGGGGGATATATGAAGCTTAACATGAGACATGGGACATAAGGGATATATGAAGCTAGGGGACATGGAGGATATATGAAGCTAGACATGGGACATGGGACAGAAGGGATATATGAAGCGTAACATGGGACATGGGGGATATATGAAGCTAGAAATGGGACATAAGGGATATATATGAACCTAGAAATGGGACATGGGGGATATATGAAGCTAGACATGGGACATAAGGGATATATATGAAGCTAGACATGGGACATGGGGGATATATGAAGCTTGAAATGGGACATGCAAGATATATGAAGCTAGACATGGGACATAGGGGATATATGAAGCTAGACATGGGACATGGGACATAAGGGATATATGAAGCTAGACATGGGACATGGGGGATATATGAAGCTAGAAATGGGACATAGGGGACATATGAAGCTAGACATGGGACATGTGAGAGATATGAACCTAGAAAGGGGACATGGGGGATATATGAAGCTAGACATGGGACATAAGGGATATATATGAAGCTAGACATGGGACATGGGGGATATATGAAGCTAGAAATGGGACATAGGGGACATATGAAGATAGACATGGGACATGGGGGATATATGAACCTAGACATTGGACATGGGGGACATATGAAGCTAGACATGATACATGGGACATATGGGACATGGGGATATATGAAGCTAGACATGGGACATAGGGGACATATGAAGCTAGACATGGGACATGTGAGAGATATGAACCTAGAAATGGGACATGGGGGATATATGAAGCTAGACATGGGACATGGGACATGCGGGACATATGAAGCTAGACATGAGACAAGGGACATATGGGACATGGGGATATATAAACCTAGACATTGGACATGGGGGACATATGAAGCTAGACATGGGACATGTGAGAGATATGAACCTAGAAATGTGACATGGGGGATATATGAAGCTATAAATGGGACATGGGGGATATATGAGGCTTGACATGGGACATGGGAGATATATGAGGCTAGACATGGGATATTGGGGATATATGAAGCTAGATATGGGACATGTGGGATATATGAAGCTTGACATGGGATATGGGGGACATATGAAGCTAGACATAATACCTGGGTCATATGCGACACGGGGACATATGAAGCTAGACATGGAATATGGGGATATTTGAACCTGAAATGGGACAGGGGGACATATGAAGATAAAAATGGGAATATGAAGCTAGACATGGGACATAGGGGATATATGAAGCTAGACATGATATATGAAGCTTGACATGGGATATGGGGGATATATGAGGCTTGCATGGGACATGGGAGCTATATGACCCTAGAAATGGGACATGGGGGATATAGGAAGCTTGACATGGGTCATTGGGCATATATAAATGGGACATGGGGGATATATGAACATAGAAACGGGACATGGGGGACATATGAACCTAGAAATGGGCCATCGGGGATATATGAAGCTAGACATGATATATGAAGCTTGACATGGGACATGGGGTATATTTGAAGCTTGACATGGGACATGGGGTATATTTGAAGCTTGACATGGTGGGACATGCGGGACATATGAAGCTAGACATGACACAAGGGACATATGGGACATGGGGATATATGAACCTGGAAATTAGCCATGGGGGACATATGAAGCTAGACATAATACCTGGGTCATATGCGACACGGGGACATATGAAGCTAGACATTGGACATGGGAGACATATAAAGCTAGACATGGGACATGGGTGAAATATGAAGCTAGACAAGGGACTTGGGAGATATAGGAAGCTAGACATGGGACATGGGACACGCGGGACATATGAAGCTAGACATGAGACCTAGACATGATACATGGGACATATTGGACATGGGGATATATGAAGATAGACATTGGACATGGGGGACATATTGAAGCTAGACATGGGACATGGGGACATATGAAGCTAGACATGATACATGGGACATATGGGACATGGGGATATATGAACCTGGAAATTAGCCATGGGGGACATATGAAGCTAGACATAATACCTGGGTCATATGCGACACGGGGACATATGAAGCTAGACATGAGACATGGGACATGGGGGAAATATTAAGCTAGACAAGGGACTTGGGAGATATAGGAAGCTAGACATGGGACATGGGACATGCGGGACATATGACGCTAGACATGAGACAAGGGACATATGGGACATGGGGATATATGAACCTGGAAATTAGCCATGGGGGACATATGAAGCTAGACAGGGGATATGGGGGATATATGAGCCTAGAAGTGGGACATAGGGGACATATGAAGCTTGACATGGGACATTGGGGATATAGGAAGCTAGGCATGGGATATGGGGGGATATATGAAGCTAGATATGGGACATGGGGGATATATGAACATAGACATGGGACATGGGGGATATATGAAGCTCAATCTGGGACATCAGGGATATATGAAGCTACAAATGGGACATGCGAGATATATTAACCTATAAATGGGACATGGAGGATATATGAAGCTAGACATGGGGCATGTGAGAGATATGAACCTAGAAAGGGGACATGGGGGATATATGAAGCTATAAATGGGACATGGGGGATATATGAGGCTTGACATGGGGATATATGAAGCTAGACATGGGGCATGTGAGAGATATGAACCTAGAAAGGGGACATGGGGGACATATGAAGCTAGGCATGGGATATGGGGGGATATATGAAGCTAGATATGGGACATGGGGGATATATGAACATAGAAACGGGACATGGGGGACATATGAACCTAGAAATGGGACATCGGGGATATATGAAGCTAGACATGGGATATTGGGGATATATGAAGCTAGATATGGGACATGTGAGATATATGAAGCTAGACATGGGACATGGGAGATATATGAAGCTAGACATGGGACATGGGGGATATATGAAGCTTGACATGGGATATGGGGGATATATGAGCCTAGAAATGGGACATAGGGGACATATGAAGCTAGACATGATACATGGGACATATGGGACATGGGGACATATGAAGATAAAAATGGGACATGGGGCATACATGGGGGATATATGAACATAGAAATGGGACATGGGGACATATGAAGATAAAAATGGGACATGGGGCATATATGAAGCGACATGGGGAATATATGAAGCTTGAAGTGGGACATGGGGAATATATGAAGCTTGAAATGGGACATGGGGGATATATGAAGCTCGACATGGGATATGTGGGATACATGAAGCTAGAAATGGGACATGGGATATAAGGGATATATGAAGCTAGACATGGAACATGGGGGACATATGAAGCTAGACATGAGACATGGGGGATATATGAAACTTGACATGAGACATGGGACATATTGGGGATATATGAAGCTCGACATGGGACATGTGGGATATATGAAGCTTGACATGGGTCATGGGGGTTATATGAAGCTCGACATGGGACATGTGGGATATATGAAGCTTGACATGGGATATGGGTGATATATGAAGCTTGACATGGGATATGGGTGATATATGAAGCTTGACATGGGATATGGGTGATATATGAAGCTTGACATGGGATATGGGGGATATATGGGGATATATGCAGCTAGACATGGGACATGGGACATGCGGGACATATGAGGCTAGACATGAGACATGGGGGATATATGAACCTAGACATGTGACATGGGGGACATATGAACCTAGAAATGGGACATGGGGCATATATGAAGCTAGACATGGGATATGGGGGATATATGAACCTAGACATGTGACATGGGGGACATATGAAGCTAGACATGGAATATGGGGATATTTGAACCTGAAATGGGGCATGGGGGCATATGAAGATAAAAATGGGACATGGGGCATATATGAAGCTAGACACGGGACATGGAGGATATATGAAGCTAGACATTGGACATGGGGGACATATAAAGCTAGACATGATACATGGGACATATGGGACATGGGGACATATGAAGATAAAAATGGGACATGGGGCATATATGAAGCTAGACATGGGATATGGGGGACATATGAAGCTTGACATGGGTCATGGGGGATACATGAAGCTAGAAATGGGACATGCAAGATATATGAACCTAGAAATGGGACATGGAGGATATATGAAGCTAGACATGGAAAATGGGGGACATATGAAGCTAGACATGAGACATGGGACATATGGGACATGGGGACATATGAAGCTAGACATGGGATATGGGGGACATATGAAGCTTGACATGGGATATGGGTGATATATGAAGCTAGACATGGAATATGGGGATATTTGAACCTGAAATGGGGCATGGGGGCATATGAAGATAAAAATGGGACATGGGGCATATATGAAGGTAGACACGGAACATGGGAGATAAATGAAGCTAGACATGGGACATCGGGGATATATGAAGCTAGAAATGGGACATATATATGAGGCTTGACATGTGACATGGGAGATATATGAAGCTAGACATCGGACATGGGGGATATATGAATCTTGACTTGGGACGTGGGGATTATAGGAAGCTTGACATGGGTCATGGGGGTTATATGAAGCTCGACATGGGTCATGGGGGATATATGAAGCTTAACATGGGACATGGGGGATATATTAAGCTAGATATGGGACATCAGGGATATATGAAGCTTGACATGGGTCATGGGGGTTATATGAAGCTCGACATGGGACATGTGGGATATATGAAGCTTGACATGGGACATTGGGGATATAGGAAGCTAGGCATGGGATATGGGTGGATATATGAAGCTAGATATGGGACATCGGGGATATATGAAGCTAGACACGGGACATGGGGGATATATGAACATAGAAATGGGACATGGGGGATATATGAAGCTAGATATGGGACATCGGGGATATATGAAACTTGACATGGGACATGGGGGACATATGAAGCTAGACATGAGACATGGGACATATGGGACATGGGGATATATGAACCTAGACATTAGACATGGGGGACATATGAAGCTAGACATGGGACATGGGGGAAATATGAAGCTAGACAAGGGACTTGGGAGATATATGAAGCTAGACATGGGATATGGGGGATATATGAGCCTAGAAATGGGACATAGGGGACATATGAAGCTAGACATGGGACTTGGGGGACATATAAAGCTAGACATGATACATGGGACATATGGGACATGGGGATATATGAAGCTAGACATTGGGCATGGGGGACATATAAAGCTAGACATGGGACATGGGGGAAATATGTAGCTAGACAAGGGACTTGGGAGACATATGAAGCTAGACATGGGATATGGGGGACATATGAAGCTTGACATGGGATATGGGGGAGATATGAAGCTTGACATGGGATATGGGGGAGATATGAAGCTTGACATGGGATATGGGTGATATATGAGGCTTGCATGGGACATGGGAGCTATATGAACCAAGAAATGGGACATGGGGGATATATGAAGCTAGACATGGGACATGGGGGACATATGAAGCTTGACATGGGACATGGGGTATATTTGAAGCTTGACATGGGACATGGGGTATATTTGAAGCTTGACATGGGATATAGGGGATATATGAAGCTAGGCATGGCTCCTTTAAGAATTAGATGCTAGTTGGGGATCACAATGGAAAGTCCATACAGTTTCACAGGGAATAGGGGTCCATACTCTACAGCACAGCCATGTAGTAGACAGATTATTTAACTGTAATTACCACATTACTACACTATGAAATGTATCCCTGCTATTCAGCTTACCAGGTAGAGGACAACATTTTGTTGATCAGATCTGAGAGACGACATATCCTGTAGACATCATTGATATATATGTGTAATACACAGGTACATTCAACACTGCCTCCATTCCACAGCTGTAGGGCTTGAGCTATTCTCCTAACACATTGTTTCCTGTTATTTTGACTTGGTTGAGAAAAGAAAATTCAAGATACACCTGAAAATGTATGATGAAGTGAGTACTTGCATGTCTTATGACAATGTAATTAACTTTAATCAAAAGTGTAACTTGGTATTTACACATATTTAATTAAACAAAACTAAATAATTAGAAAATATACATGTAGATGAAACTATTTGTACTTTCTTCCTTCATATTTCATGCTGACTATATTTATAACATATTATTTCTCTATACTAATCAAATAAAACACTGAGTTCATCACAATCGTGTGGGCACCCCAGGCACTGATTCTAATAGTACAGTGTAATAACGGTGTACAGTATTTGGACTTTGAACAGCAAAGCTTTGTATTTTTATTTTTAGAATACATATCATCAAAGCTAAATTGATGGCAGCATTATGAGTAACCCTGAGTTATGGAAGAATTCTATTGTATTAAGCTATCATATATACCAGAAACATACAGAGAGACTGCCCGGGGTAACTCTTTCTTTGTCTAAGGCCAAAACGAAATATATGTCTGTTTAGGGTTCCCGACCGACCTTAGCTTTTTACCCCCGACCCAAAACTTTTTGATGAAAAAAATAAATAAAAAAAAACACAAAAAAACCCACTGATTTTCGAATTTTAGAAATCATTGCCTTTCAAAATGGCTTCTAGCTCGTGTTGGCGCTAAATGCAATTATTATTATTATAGGTAATTTTGTTTTGTATTTTTGTTTTATGGATATCAATCCATTGAATTGTCAAGTGCTTGTCTAAAAACTGCAATGAGAACTTTAATTATTGTATCACGTTTTACAGTTCAAAAAATAAACAGTCAACATTCTGTAATGTGTACCCAAAACAGACATATTTGAAATACATTTGGGCTCAATTAAACAGATTTAACAGCAAGAACAGTATCTGAATAAAATTTGTTAAAAATATACCTGAACTTCGCCTTCGCTGGCGGAAGATGGACTGTCTTCTTCAAAGGAACTGCTGAGGGATCGTCTGGTAGGCTTTGGAACTGGAGGAGGGGTAGTACACATGTTGGCTGTGGGGCTATTGGTCTGACGGGCGTCACATTTGTAATATCTTGGAATGGCTTCATTTAAGTAGGGGTTACTCTGGTGATAGAAAGCAATCTTGTCACTCGCCTGTCAGGGTTTTTTGTGTTATGGTTCTGGGACGTGCGGGCTTCTCAAAAGTCTTTTAACAGAGCTCCGTCCGTCGCGGCGAGGGCAGATTTAGTGAACTCAATTTTAATGTTGCATTATATTTGGCATGCACACTCGTCTCGGTTTTCAGTAGTTCTGCAGATAATTGTATGTGTTTTTCTATCAAGCGATAACAACTTATACAAATACCGCAGTCTGGCTGTCCGTGATCTGCTTCGAAAAACGGGATGACAGATTTTATGTTTGTACATCGTTCTGTAGTGAATCGTAACTTTTGATTGGTAAATTTCTTAGTAAATTCAATGCCATCTGGCCCTATTTCCTTCTGAACAAACAAAAACCCACATATTACACAGATGTTGTCCAGAATATAAATCTTTTTGGTTGACAGTCCTTCGCTGTCAGTTGCCATGATCTTTGGCTTTTTCGTCGCGTAAAGATAACTGCCGAGACAGCTTCACGAACGAACGTTACTTTTAGGATTTGGTAAGCTGCGATTTCATTGGCTAACACAAACGTCATGCACACACAGAAGGCAACGGGTCGCTGTCAGATGTTCATGCGGTACGTAATAATGGACAGCTGTATTTATTCAGATTGCAATGACATCTGCCTGCCTAATCTGTCAACCTTTCTTCATACAATTTCTTCATCTGAACCACTGATTAAAAGTAAACTAAACTTGACTTGAATCATTCTTATTGATGGATGGGATCCAAAATTGTTCAAATGGAAGGACTAACCTCCGGGGAGCTGAAAGAGGTTATAACTTGGTTGAGATCCCTAACCTTTAACAAAATTCACAATTGCCGAGTAAAAACAAGAGATGAAAACACAAACATTTAAACCATGCATGGCCCCACCCATGCATGGAGACTCAGTCCCTAGGTCATTATTTTGAAAACAATGAGATCCCGACACCTCAAAACTAATATCCTAGAGCTGGAAAACTTACAAATTTGCGAGACGGAGTGTTACATATTAAATTTAAAGCACGCAGCCCCATTCTTGAAAACAGTAATTGCGTTTGGTCTTTTTTCTTTGTGCAGACGAAAACACTTCCTGAGGGAATCCGTGGGATCTTTTTGAAGGAAGCCAGAGGTGGTGATTTTCTGAAAGGTTATGGTGTCCTAAATCAAAAAAAGTTTGTTGTCTGGTCAATTTGATGACGTCATCAAAATGGCGGCCATAGCAACAAGATTTTGCCATAAAATTCTGGCATAACAAATACATTTAAGCAAATATTTCGCAAAATATGGTTTTATTAAGAGTTCAAATTGTGGTTTCCTGATATAACATAATTGATTATGGCGTTTTCTTCACCGGAAGTGGTAAAATTAAGAAATAGGCAAAATGGCGGCCATAGCAACCAATTTTAAACACTAACAAAATTTTGTCGCAAAAAAATGGTTCATAAAGGGTAGAAGGTTGTTGTCCAATGATGTTACATGTAAAGCCTGCACTTTTATCAATGTTTCGCTCCAGCGGAAGTAGTCAAATTAAGGATTAATCAAAATGGCGGCCATAGCAACCAGATTTTGCAAAAAACTTCTAGCAAAACAAATCCATTTAAGCATGTATTTCGCAAAATATGTTTTTATTAAGAGTACAAATTGTGGCTTCATGAAATAACATTATTAATTATAGTATTTGTTCATCACCGAAAGTGGTAACATTGAGAAATGGGCAAAACGGCGGCCATAACAACCGATTTCAAACACTAACAGAATGGCATAATTAATACATTCATAGGTTTTATCGCAATGTTGTCCAATAATGTGGCAAGAAAATCCTGCATTTTAATCAATTTTCGCTTCACGGTAAGTGGTAAAATTAAGGAAATAATCAAAATGTCTGTCATAGCAACCGATAAGTTTAAGCAAATGTCCTGCAACATGGCATACAAATGTGCTTGTCGTTTAAAAATAAACGTTCACAAAATTAAACATATTTACATTATATGTCGATGCATAAGTGGGAATTCCAAAAATGTCTTAGAACTTTTGTCCCTGTAAGATTCACATAATCTCTTCCATATCATTTGATATCGGTAATCGCATGTGGCAACTGAGAGATGTCTTTTCTAAATCGTTCTTTCGCTCTGTTGACGAGTGTTTTATTAACTGTGTTCTGATAACACGAACGATGCCACGTTGCATTATTATCAAACAGAGAATACGACGTTTCTGATGATAGTCTGGAAAGTACTTCAGGGTATATATATACAATCAGAATAGCCCGCTCTTTCTCTGATAACATCCAACACTTTCTCATGGGTTTTAGGTGCTTCAACCAACAGTTCTTCAGTTTTACTTAGACATATTATGCAAGCTGTATAGTCCACAAAACGTTGTTGTTTTGATATTTGCAGATTGTCTTCAAATAGTCGTCTTTTAGACTAAATTAAAAAATGATAATAACATAATAACGTTGTTACACCATTTAAATAATGTTTATTATTTAGATATAAAATATAGAGGAAAAAGAAGTTTATAAAAAATTCCGGAATTTTGTTATCCCTGACCGACATTGGTTTTAATCTTACAACCTCCCACAATATTCGCTAACGCCGACTTACGAGACATTATAACACATCTGTATATGAAACAAATTATTACTAATAAAGCTTATTTAACATGTTAAACATGTAAAATACATGATGTCATCATAACTATGACATCACCAATGGGCATCTATGACATCATCAAGGCTCACTGATATTAAAATAAATACCAGGAAACCCATCATAACAACAAACTAGCAACAGACACACTTCCTGTAACTGATGAACAGCACAATAATGTCAGATATTCTGAAACATCAGACAAATGACACCATAGCAACCGTTGTTTACTTTTTTACAAGAATTGACAGTGACCCCAGAAATTGTTCATTTAACATATTTCACTAGAAAAAAAAAATTGTTTTCTTCAGCTGTTATTATGGAAATAAAATTTATTGACATTATTGACTTTGCTTATTTAATCTGTATGCTGAATCAAGTGGAAAAAGCATATAAAATAGTGTAATTAGAATGACAACAGATATTTTGCCCATTTTCAATAAATACAACTTTATGTATTAGTTACCATGGATACCGGGTGCTGAACTGAGTGAAATAGACTGTAACCTAACCTGAATGCATCAGGAGATAGCCTGTGATTTATTTGTT